ACAGTCAGAAAAGTGAGACTGAAGGCTAAGATGTTCAAAGCTGCCTTAATTATTAGAGCATGAGCATCCAAATCCCTCAAGGAGCACATAAAATGTTGGCCTCAAAATTCACGGTGTGTTCAGAGAAGCGAGAGCCAGGGAGTTTTGGGGACATCTTGACTGCAGTCTGCCTAGCTGGCTCTGCCGAACTTGGAATCGGTCCGATTCATTGCAGCAGCTCTGAATTCAGAGCAGAGGGAGCAGACAAGGCTCGTTGCCTATTCCAGCCAGAAAGACTGCAGCAACAGTTGAGGTTTTCATTTTTTTAAAAAATAAGGTTACTTGAGCAGACAGACGGCCAGGAATAGACCCTCTGTCTCCTCATTCCCAAACTGAGCCCCACTGACAATTATGCACAAACTGTCAGGGCTGCTTTAGGTAAACAGTGCTAGAACTAAAGCAGCCAGACGTGGGTTTGTACAATACTTTGCCTGGAGAATCAGAGTTCTTGATGATCACCAAAGCCCAGAGGGGAGAGCAGGGACCATTCAGTCCCTTCCAGGTGCAGTAATGACTTTTTTTCCTCAACCACTAATGGTCCTGCCAGTTGAGCAGCCTGGTCCAGAGGTGGACAATGGATTCAGGTTACTCCTGGGGAAAAGCACTTTCCCATGCAAAGCAAACCTTTAGAAATGTTGGTAGATCTGTTTGGGATGCAGAATGCATGAAGCTCACACCCCTCCTTGCTTCACACTCTGCTCCAGTATTTATCCTCCCAGCAACCATCGCCACCTCGTCCTCCAGAACTGTGCTTCAACTTAGACATCAGCAATTTCCCCTGCCACAGGTGATCAGTGAAATTACCCACTTCATCTAAGGCCAGGGGAGTTAAAAGAATGTTACACTCCAGGAAACTCTTCCAACAGCTTGGTTATTTTTGCACCTCTGCAAGCTGCAGATGGACCCAGACACTCCTTCTGCTTTGCACCGGGCTGGAGAAGCAACCTCTGGCGATGGCACCGCTTTCCAGGCAAGACCCTGAGCATCCTGCACCAGCATCCAGCTTCATCTGCTTTCTCCTGCCCCATGATGCTGGGCTCTGTCCAAAGTAAATGCAGGAAGATTTCCCTGCTGACTGCAGGGATTTTGCTTGCTTAGATGGATCCACTGGGAATACCAGCATTTTTATTTTATTTGTTTTTCTGCTAAAAGCTGATAGGTCTGTCCTATGCAGATAAACCCCCGGGTCAGTCATGCCACAGATAACTCCCTACCTTGCTTCCCAGCCAAGGGACAAGGATTCATGGATATTGGTGCTGTCTCTCCATCCCTGGGAGGAATGTAGAGAGAGTTGGATACCCTTCCACAGTGCCAGGGCTTGCAACTTCCTTTTTAAAGCCTGTAATCATCCTCACTTCTCTGAGCTATTCATGCATTTGCATTGTTTCACAGCATCTTGAGTGCTGGCTGGAAACAGCTCCAGGTTTTGGGGGAGCTGTGGGGAGCCATGCCAGCAGGCACTCCCATGCTGAGCAGCAGAGGAAGGCTGTGCTCCTGCCAACAGGTGAGCTGGTTATTGGGCATTGCCTTTTATTGGGAAAGAAAAAGTAGAAAAAACCCCCAACAAATCAATTCTGTTCACATGAGATTTGAGCTGAACATCAACCAATCGACACTGAAGGATAAAGAAATGCCACAGAAAAAGGAGTCCTGTTGTGATACAGCCACAGCTGAGGTTCATTCCTTTTTTATTTTTATTTTTTCTTTTCTCCCCCTGGTTAAAAACAAGATTTGCAGAAAAGAGAATACATCACCAGCATACAGACTTCTAGTCAAAAACCCACCCAAAGGACAGGTGGAGGAATTGCCTTTCCATATGGGTGCAGCCATCTGCCACAAAGCACAGTGTGGACATGGAGACCCGGACCGGTATTTCCCACTCCATTCCCCATAGTGGCAACATGTATCTGCAGCATCCATGAATCCAAGAGAACAGCCTAACAGGCTCTTGGGCAGTATTTTTTTCCCCAATTTCCCCTTGCAATATGCCATCCTTCTGGCAGTATTTTCTGTCCCTAATCCATGATGTTATGCTGGCACAGCAACTGGGAGCATGGAAAGCCAGGTCTTGCCACACTCATGACCAGTTAGCAGGAGAGGGGGGATCCCATAACCATTCAGCTCTCTTGCAGGGATGGAAAGGACGCACTGCTTTCCATTACCCACCCCTGCAGGAATCCCAAGGTCTGAATCCAGCCCTTCACACCCTTCAGTCCCTGCCCTGCAGAGCTGCAGCCAGAGAGACCAGAAGGCAGGAGAGCACTGATTCCCTATGTCTTTGCCATCTTGTTTCCATGCTTCATGCCACCTATGGGCTTTATCCCAGGAACTCCTGTCACATCCACTCCCACTAGCATTTTGCAATTCTCTCTTGCCGTCTCCCAGACTCTGTTTATCCATTCCCTCTGATCACCCCTGTTCCTCATCCTTCACCCAAGGTTTCATGATGTTACCCACTTGTGCTCCACTCTGCACTGCAGCATCTGAACACATGAGCTGCACACTGGGCAACCCAGCTCACTAGCAAAGAGAGCTTCCAAATGGGGATTGAGCTGCTATTAATTTATCCTATATTCGTTTTGAAAAGATGCCTGGAGAAGGCACACCATTTCCCTTTCTAGTTAGAGGCTTAACAGCCACAGGCTTTCTTCTTTCGCAGGAACATAAATCCATGTTTATTCTGCATGTACCCAATTAATCCCCAAGGCATTGCACCCAACAGGCCAAAATCAAAGCTCTATCTCCACCAAAATACTTCAGGAGAAAGAAAAGAGGGAGAAATGCTGGACGTTTAACAAAAGAAACACATCTATTTCCTTGGGACCGAGGCAGCTGCATGGAGTATAAATGATTTTACTTGGTAACCTCAACAGGATTCACTCCATTTTAAAGAGAGAAGAAAAGACCTGGAGCATCCATTTCCAGGGTGATCACCAAGGAGCAACCAGACTTCAATTCCTGTGAGGGTCTTCAGAGGGTTTGATCATTCAGGATGCCCTCATATACAAAATACTGATCTACCTGCAGCACTGGCCATATTCTGTTCCCAGCTAAAACGTGTGCAACTGCTGAAGTCAATTTACGAGGCAAACATTTAATTTAGCAAGCAGACTCACAATACTAAATTTAAACATATGTCAAGCCAACTAGTAGCTTTGTTTTAATTAACTCTCAAACTTTGTGGTTGTCATTTCTTTATATAAATGAGGATGTTCTGCCAAGGGCAGACTGTAATCCTATGTGCATACCTACAAAACCGCCTGCTATTTCACAGCCACTTTTCAAAGAGCTCTTGCAGAGGCAAGGGGATGTAGAAGTTATTATAAGGGTCCATATGGCAGTACGCTGGCACTGCAGTATTAAATCAGAGGTATTGTAGCTTTCCAGCCTAGATTCTCACAGTACCAGGTAATGTATATGTAGCTTTTTTGTTGTACAATTTTAGTGGCTATGCATTATTCAACAACGGCCAAAGTCTCTGCGCTGCCAGAGGTGATTCAGTGATGATAAAGGGAATACATTTTGCTCTAAAGGCAGGAACAAAGGGATTTCACAGGTCAGTATCTTCTCCATGAACTGAGGAACAATGGAAGCATTAACATTTCTAGTAAAGAAATCAGCTGGCAACAAATTCTCATCGATAATTAAAATGAAAGTACAAGCTGCCTTAACATGTAGTTAGACTTAGGAACTGTAACCTGCTCTCTAAATTAAATGCTTTCCTTGATAATTTGGCTCTCGCAGCAGGCGCTGAAATCTGCTGGAAGATGCCATCTAGTGGGTTATGGAAGTTTATTTAAGTTTAAATCTACTTGCTGGTGTGGAGCAAGGGTGGAAAGAACTGCAAATTCTGGGGTGAGTAATTGTTTTTGTAGACTTTCTGTTGCTGTTGTTCTAGGAAATCAAAATTTCCTTGTGGGAGCTTACATTGGAAGAGACCTAATTTTTCTTTTCCCAGTCCCCACAGCAGGGCAGTGGATTGTCACAGCTTCACTATTGACATCAGCCGGGCCGCACAGCTGTGGGGATGGCAGGGCACCTTCCTAACCACAAAGGCTGTTTGCTCTTCATTTAAGAAATTAATCCACTCCCCATTTTTGGAAAAGCTGTACCACTGTTGTTTTATTCTTAAAAAACAAACAAACATCATCAACAACAACAACAAAAAAAACCAACAAAAACCAAAACAAGACACTCCATGCCTACAAATTGTCTAGACGATGGTACAGTTGAAAGCACAGAATTGGTACCCGAACAAACAGAGCTCCTTCTGACAGGGAGCCCTGGCCGGGGAGCTGCTCGGGAGCGCTCCCGGTAGCCAGCAAGGCCGGCCGGTGGCCCACGGCATCTCCCACCGTGGAGCTCTAAGGTCCTCCGGTTCACCGCGTGTCAGTGGGGCATGCTCTGCTCTGCTCTGCTCTGCCGCCCACCCCAACCCCACCCCACCCCTCCCCTCCCCTCCGGGTCCCACTTAACCCGACTCCCCCCGCCGTTTCCCCGGTGCCAGCCACATCCCTCGCAAACCGCTCTGTTTTTCAGGGGGAGCAGTACCCGGCGCCGAGCACCCGCTCAGCCCGCGGCAGCGCCGGGGCAGCTTCTGCCGCAGGGGCCGCCGCTGAATGACCGTGATTAACGCCGCCGGGCCGCTAATTGCGGAGCCTCTCGGGAGCAATTAAGCACCTTGGTTTTCCTCCGACGGTTCAGAGCCCGCTCCCCGCCCTCTCCCGCGGCGCCCACCCGGGGCACCCGCCGGTGCCACGGCATCCTTCGAGAGGCGTTACCGGAGAGTCATTAAAGGACAGTCATTAGCGGGGGGGGGGGGGGGGGCGTGAACTCGGCGGGGGCGGGGCCGCACCACCGGCGGCGGTGGGCGGGGCTGTGGAGGCCACGCCTCCCCCGCGCGGCGCGGAGCGGAGCGGAAGTGCCGGAGTTGCCGCCCGCCGCTGCCGCCGCGCGCGCGGGGGAAAGTTCTGCTCCCTCAGGGCGGCGGCGGGGGCGGCCGGGCCGCGCCGCGCTCCTTCCTCCTGCTCCTTCCTTCTCCTCTTCCTCCTTCCTGGCGGCGGCTCCGATGCGGCGGAAGCAGAAGCGGCTGCTGCAGGCGGTGGGGCTGGCGCTGGCCGCCCTCGTCTTCTTGCCCAACGTGGGGCTGTGGTCCCTCTACCGCGAGCGGCAGCTGGAGGGCGGCGGGGCGGCCGGCGGGGAGGGGGCGGCCGCCGCCGCGGGCCCGCCGGGGGCAGCGGCCGGCGAAGCGCCGGTGAGTGGCGGCGGTGGGGAGGGAGGTGAGGGACAGGACGGGGACGCACAGGGTATGGGAGCTGAGCGATGTCCCCACCACCACCACCACCACCCGTGTGCGTGGGGGAACCGCCGGGTGAGGGATGAGGAGCGAGCGCGGCCGGGGGGGTGGTTCCCGTGGGAGTGGGAGCAGCCTCCTTCGCGTGAGCTGAGGGCAGAAGGGGTTTGTGTAGGGGTTTGTGTAGGGGATGGGTGCGTCCCTCCCCCTGTCATCAGAGGGAAGCCTCGGCAGTGGCCGGGGAGGCAAGGGGGAGCTGAGAAGCAGCAGCCGGCCCTTCGGGAGGAGGGGGCGAGGGAGGGGAGTGGAGGGGGTGGCTCCTGTGCCCCTGAGGAAGTAGCCTACGTCTGGGTTGGAGGGGGGACACGAGTACTTTCTTGGCAAATCACGGATCCGGAGACCGGAGGGTCTGCATGCCTTTTGTGGCTGAGCTTGGTAAGGCAATAAAGCTTGGTCTTTGCGCCTTGCTCCAAGGAATAAAAAAGGGGAGCTTGTCCCACCCTTGCAAAGAAAAGGACAGTAATTCTGTCTCCCAAGGGTGCTCATCTGTGCCATTTCTCTTTACCTGCCTTGGAAAGGTAGAGGGAGTGAGCATTACCTGTTACCTCTGAGTCCCTGCAGAGCTTCAGGTAAGGACTAGCAGCTGGTACCAGGTGGATCTTGAAGATATGTCTGTGTACTGATCCTCCTTTGGGAAAAGAGTAGCAGATAACTCCTCCTGAGAGAAACAGAGGATGCCTGCTGGATACATGGCCTGATGATATTGCAGCACATGACTGCATTCCTTTCTTGTCCCGGTGGTGTAGTAGTAAATTCAACAGACAAACCCTTCTGCTTAGCGTGCGAGACAGAAAGGCTAGATCACCCAAATTAGACGCTTGGAAGCTCAGTTTAGCTGCATTTACTTTTGGCTGTGTAATTGCTTTATCCCCTTCTGGGTTTGGCTTTGTACCATTAAGAATGATTGGGACTTGAAAGCTTGAAATGTCAGTGTGTAACTATCAGTTCAGCTGCCACTCTGCAAGGCTCTGCTTGTTCAAAACCACTTAAAACTCTTAGTTGTCTAAATCTTTCCCTCCTTGGAGACTTGCCGCTATGACTGTGCCGTAAAGGTGGGGAAACCTACTGTGGCAAATTCTGCTCTGAGAGAGAGAGGGCTCTCAGGAAGAGGAATTATCAAACTGAGACCAAGCTCTTCCTTCCCAGAAGAAACATTTTTTCGAATTCAAGCATTCGGTGCAAATCTAGGTATAACCATGATCATATCCGTGTAATGTTCCATGTTGGTAAAGAAAGGGATCAACTCTTACCTGCCATAAAGCAAATTTGTAATGAATCCTCAAGCGTATACAGAAATCCCTTTAACATACACAGCGATCATTACATGCCAGGAGTTCCCAATGTTACTGCCTTATGCTTGTATTTCTTTTGGATGCAGGGAATCTATTTTGATTGATTGATAAGAATCAAGCCCTGTAGTACACTGCTCCATAGCTTCATATGGTATGGAGTTATGGCGAAATGAAGACCATTGTAAAATCACGTGTCTTCCAGAGGTTATGAGGAGAAAGTTGATGATTATTCTTAGGAAGCTTCAAAGCTCCTTGTTGGAAGTAGCAGTTAATTCTGGTTAAATCTGTAACAGGCAAAAAAACAGTGACAAGCTGACTTTCTATTTTTGGTCTTCCAAAATTGTCCTTGAACTGTTGGCTTTGGGTATCCGTAAGCCAGACGGTTCCTACGGTGCAGTACATCACTGCTGATTTCTGTGTACGTTTGGTGTTCTTGGTATTTAGATATCCCTTATTGCTGGTGTTGCACAGAATGTTGACTCTGTTTTAATTTGTGTGAAGTATGGCAGCTGTCAGTAAATTGAGATCTGCTTTTGTTTTGATGGTGTGTTGAGCTGGACAGGAAATGTCTGTTCAGCTTACGGGAGAATTTGCAATAAAACCTCTGCACTTGTGTAAATCAGAGTTACTGGACTTTAGGCTGAAGGTGTCATCTTCCAGTCTAATTAAAATGGAGTTATGGTCTGCAGTGGGTCTGTGAGTGAAAAGTATACTTGTATTGTATGCCTATTTTTTTTGAAGGATTGGGCCCTGAAATAACTCCTGTTATACTGAGCAAGGGAGAACATACCCTAAAGGGCAACTGGCTGTCTTGATAAAAATAATTTGAGATAAAGCAAAATAAAGACAAACCAAATGTTTGGGTTTTTGTTTTTACTGTTGTCATAGAGGTACCTGCCAGCTGACTGCAGAGTTTTTTGGGCATCCACAGATTCAGTGGTTCCAGCCTTTCTTCCTTGGTCCTGACGTGCATTCATGGTTTTTGTACTTGCTAATCAACTTCCAGCTTATAAATGAGCATGCTATCTGCTTGTTCATGAAGCCGTTTGGAAGGGCTGACTTCTTAATACCAAAACTCTAGATGATAGGAGGCTATATCATAAAAAAAAAATTATATTCATAGCAGTCAGAAAAGATTTTCTTCTGTTTCTGGCTTTAATTAGCCTTTTTGTGCAGGCTAATCTTTGAATTGAGGACATTTCGGATATGATACAGAATTGAGCTTTTCAATGAAATCTCTGTCCAGGCTCATTCTTTCTCTTTAAATGGTGTCAGCTGTTTCAGTCAGTAATTTTATCTTTCAGAGTAGCAGCAAAAGGGGGGAAAAGGTTTTAAGAAACATCTGAATTAAAGCTACAAAGCGATTCCTGGAACAGAGTTGTGATGCTATAATACTGTAGTTTAAAACCTGCTAGGAGTTTGTTTTGTTGTGTATCTTGTGTTGCGTGTTACCTTCAAAATGGCAATATATCAGTGTAGGTGATTTTGCCTTATTTAATCTTTCCAGTGCCTGAAACAAATGTGTCAGAAAATTAAGCAATCAGAAGCCATGTAAATATATTCTAGGAAAGATTATGCTAAATGGTTTTTGCAGAAGTGCCTAGGCAGCTAATTACTTCTGTATTTACATGTTCAGGGGAAACATTATGGTGGCTGAAAATAATGTATTGCTTTAATAAGGTGGATTAGGTCTGTGTTCTTTCATTCTGCCTTTGGGTTTGTTGTTCTGCCGCTCTGTTGGGTGCTTTTTGCTCCGCAGGGAAGGGGTGGCCGTAAGTCATCAAGGTCTTGGCCTCAAGGTCGTGCTGCAGATCTGTTTAGAAAAGCTGATGCATTGAGTTACTCTTCATCTTCTCTACAGCTGCATGCTCCAAACTGTCCTTTATCAGTGTGTCTATACAGTTGCTCAGCAGATGATATGAACTAGGAAGTCCTTTCCTCATGGTGTGTGTAACAGGTTTGGCTAGTGTCGTGGCTTTAAATGGGGATGATGGTATCGAGGTACTGAAGTGTTTCTGCTGACAGGAAAAGTATTGGCTCAAGCTTCTTAAACTTCATGATTGTACTTTTTTGCTCACCAGTATGAGTGTATCAGTATGATCATGTAATGCAGATTGACTTTTGTGTAGTTTCATCTTTTTCTTTTTTTAACAAGCATTCAGTAAGTAAAAACATATGATCTGTAGGTGTCGGGGTAGGAAAAAGCAAGAGAAATGAGGCTATTCCTTTTGTCACTTGAATCTCTGCTGTCTGCCTCAGAGGCTGCTGGGCATCCTCAGCCGAAATGTTTGATGTGTAGTCCTACAGTGCATAAAACACAGAGTTAGTTTGTGGGATAGTGGTTTATGCTTGGGCTAATGCAACTATTTACGTGACTTCTCATGCTCTGCAGAGACACTGCTCTGTGCCTGTGTGGTGAGGCTGGAGATCCGCACTCGGCGTGATACCTGCTGTTAGGGGAATGTGGCATTTGAACTCAGGGAGACACTAAGCTTAAACATCTGTTTCTCTGAATTGTTGGCTAAAAGCATTGTAGCAAATTAGCTGCCTTTCATTGCATGTGTTTTTATCTGATGTGATGCATGCTTTATGGAGTCACCCTGTAGCTTGTTGTAGTAGTAATTTGTGCTCTATAAATTAACTTGCGAACATGATGGAAGTATATAAATCACATAGGTGATTGTGTGGTGCCCTCTGCTGCCAGCCAGCTGGAGTGAAGTGAGATATACCTGCCTGCTGGTATGTTATGAATGAAACACCAGCTGCAAACTTATGATTGAAAAATGGTTTGTGAGAATGCTCCTTTTGGAAAGTCTAGGATTGTGAACTTCAGCCGTAGTGCAATTAAGCTTAAAGTTTCCATTCAGTATTGCTGAAAATGGAGCCCTAACAATGAGCTGAGTGGGGAGCGTTGCTGTGCTGCCTTCCAGACTGCTGCTGCTGCTCGTGTCCTCCTCAGCAGAAGAAAATGATCCGCTTTGCCATTCTGACCTGGAGGCAGCTATGAAGCTGTCAAGGACTGTCAGCTTCGTGTTGTGCTTGGCAAAAGCCAATAAGGAGGAGGGTGGTTTAGCAGACTCTGTGCTGTTCAGGCTGGAGAGGGAGGGGAGCGGCTTGGGAAAAGTGAGAGGAAAACCTTTCTCCTCTCTGGCAGCCAGGGATAAACAGAACAACAAAATTACCATCCTTCCTATGCAGATTTCTTTGGCAGTTACACTGGTTGAGCCCTTGACCTTGCTACTGCCATTGAACTCTGGGGCTTGGCTTCTCACAGACCTCTTAGACTGTCATGTTGGCAGTTGTCATCAGCTGATAAAAGAGGAAACTTTGAAAAGCTTATTTTGGTAAGCATGGTGTAAAACAATTGGCATCTAACAGCTGAAGTGCAAGTGCTGAACAAGCCTGTTTTAAATTAAGAGTGACTGATTTCCAGTATGGGCTACTCTAAAGTTGATCACTTCAGTGCACTTGCAAAACGAGCAGGTTTTTGTGGACTAGACAAATGTGGACCACACTACTTATTAGCAAAGTGAGCTGAAGTGAACATGAAGTGGCTGAACCATCTCACAGCTGTTAAATGCAAAGTAAAATTTGGAAAAGATGTTTATT